TTATAAAAGGGTTAAAATAAAAGTATTTATCTAAAGCTTTACTTTCTTCTCATTTGTCGTAAGACAATATTTCCGTTACAAAATGTGCCTCACTTCTCTAAATAACATTTTACTAATTGCCAATTAAACAGTATATTCGTAGCTGTTCAATATAAATAATTTTTTTTGATGACGATGGTGGACATAACACGTATTAGGTTTTCATTATTTAATTACTATTGCACCAGTACATGTCTTTTTAAACGTAAATCTGCAATGTAACAAATCATTTTTATTATCCACCTATCGGATTTGCCATGTTCTGGCGAATTTTTCAGTGGACATATTCAAATATACAGGCAACAACAGCCAATGATTATTTATAAATTAAGGCCGGTTTTTTGTCCTCTACTAATAAATCTACTTGCCAATTATATCTATATCTGTCTCATAAAAGAAAGACAGTAGAAGAAAGTGACAGACATAGATTTAACCGACAATTAAACCGGAAAATAACGGTCCTAATTCTTAAACATAATCATATAATTTTAACATAGGTAAAAACGGTAAACTAACATCTATTTTAAACGTATTATTACTAACATCAATCGTATTTCAATTTAAAGAATAATAAGAAATCATCTTACGACTCGATCTGTTCTTGTTTAAAGAATTACATGATTATTATATTACAGCCTTTAATAAAACGTTCGAATTCGAAAATCAAAAATAGAGAAAGAAAAAGTATACTTATGCATACATAATTTAAATAAGTAGAACATAAAAGTACAGCGGCGGAAAAGTCTTGTATTATTAGTAAATATCACAAATTATATCCGACGTTTCGCAGCATTATAATTTTGCTTGTTGGTGAACATGAAAGGATATTTTAACTTAAATAAAATTTGTTTTCATTTTAATCCTCGAACAAAAACAATGAAATTTACTATAGCAATTTAAATCATTGCAATGGTAATTTTACTGCTGTTACTGTATTGTTTCACACAACATTCTAACCCTCCTATCTTATTGCTTTCATATTTAGAAAAGAATTATTCGAGTCAAAGTTGTAAGAAATTTTCTTGTAATTTGAAAACTAAGCTTAGAACATTTCTGATTTATTTATTAAATCGGAAGTTTCTTTGAATAGAACACAGTGTAAATTTTTTGACATTTGGATAGAACGCTTTATCAGAATTGCAATTATATAAAATTTGATGGATATATCTCTAATAATAAAGAAGATATAATGGAAGATACTAATTGTAAGCAATAAACTCCTTAGACTCTTTTTGCCGAATATCTCTGATTATTAGAGACAGACCTGTTAAACTTTATATTACAATAATGTTAAGGAAGGATTCTATACAAATATGTAAAAATATACAGGGTGTTCTGTTAGCAACATTTATAGGTTTGTCTTGTATTTCAAAATGCAGCATTCAATTTTTTCTCTAAGTACAATTTTGAAAATTTCCCATTATTTGGACCCATACATAAGTAGAATGTAAAACAAATTCCGGGAATATAATGAAAAGAAATTCATCCTCGACATTAAAATGCATTTCAGTCCCTTAATAAGTACTATTGCAGCATCTTAAATGAACTGTTTTGATATACAAATGTCAAATTTTTAATATTTTAGAATACAAAGTGTTCAAAGAGATTAAGTTTTCTGATACATAAAAATCAGAGAAGTGCTTTTTTAATTTTTGAGGTTATTGAGGAACTTCACCTTACGACTCAAAAATACCCTTGAGTGAATAAATATGTAATAAATGAAGAACAAAATTCGAAAGTTAGGTAAGTATACAGTGTTAAGCTGTTCGAAAAACAAAATTCATCGTTATCTAAGAAAATATAATATAAAACCGTTTGAGCCCAAGTTCTTTCAGACATTGTGAGAGGGTAATGAAAAAAGGCGAATCGAATTTAGTTCATGGACACAGGGAAATTATTTAAATGATGATAATTTTCTGAGCAATATTATTTTCACTGATGAAGCTACCTTTACGACAAACGGAGTAGGATCTTCTTAAAATATCAGATTTTGGAATGAAAATAATCCCAATTTTGTAATTGCAGCAAAACGGAATTTCAAAGCACAGGGTATTAGGTCTCTTCTTTTTTTTGTAATAACTAGTAGTAGTATTTCTTCAGTTTATATACATATATTATACAAGATATTCCTTTATTGGAAAGAAGAGATATTTATTTACAATTGGATGGAGCTCCAATCCATAACACTTCCGCAGTCATTAATTGGCTTAATCACCAGTTTCGGAATAAGTGGATTGGGAGTCCAATAGTACAATAGCCAAAAAGATCCCGTGATTTGTCCCCTATGGACTTTTACTTTTGGGGTTTTATAAAACAAAAAAAAAACAGACCAAGGAATTTGGATGACTTAATGAATCACATAAGACAACCTTGTGCAGAGATTACTCCACAACAGCTATGTAAAGTACTTTAGAATTTAAGAAGACGATTGGAAAAATGTGTCCGACTAGAAGGAGGTTTGGTGGAGAAAACTAAAATTTAATTTATATTAACATTTTGCAATTTCTAGTTTAACAACTTAGTATTTATAATTCATTAAATTTCTTGTACGTTAATTATTATTTTTTCTGTGGCCGCAATTAAATGTGTTAAATTTATAGTGTCTGTATTTTTTCTTTAGTCGATTGATACTTGTTTTCACTTCCATGGCAATCTTTGACTTGCTTATTATAATTTTTAGTTGTTTAATTTTTCGAAGTTTAACATCCCATAAAAAAACACTCAATAGACATTTGTCGATCTTTGGTGTATGGGTATTTTGATGGATGTTGAATAGCCTGGTAACATTATCTTTTTGATAAAAAAATGCCTAATACCACTTTCTGGAAAAACTACTCTTTTAAAAAACGCACTATATACAGGGTATTTCAGAAAGACCTCCCGTAAATTCAGGGAGTGATAGTACCACAAAAATTTTTTATTATTAACTATATGTCTATCTCCTCTTGTTTTCGAGATACAGAGTCACAAAATAAAAATTTTTAAATAGAATTTTTACGAACATTTCCAAACGGTGCAAAATATTTTTATGAAATTTGGTATTCCGTGGTTTTTAAAGACCCCAAATACGCTGGTGTAATTATTTTTTGGATATTTCATAGAGGGAGCTAGTTACGCTACATTCCTATTACATTTTAGGTTCAAATTTTTTGTGGTTAGGTTTTCAGGTTAGGGCTCCAATTTCTAATGTACAATTTTATTTTCTAGAAATAATGTACTTTTGTTATAACTTCCTAATGTGGACGGTTTTCAAGAAAAAATGCTTTTAATTGAACTCTTACAATATTACGGTGTAGAAAATAGTGACTTTTCTCAAAGTAGGCTTATGTCAAAACTTATTGATGAATGTCTCAAAAACAACGCATACATTCTCAGTAATATTTTAAAGTCTAATTAACTTTATATCAAAATTTTAGTGACTGTAATTAGTCATTACTAACTACAGTCACTAACAATCANCGCTGCAAAATATTTTTATGAAATTTGGTATTCCGGGGTTTTTAAGGACCCCAAATACGCTGGTCTATTTTTTGGATATTTCATAGAGGGAGCTAGTTACGCTACATTCCTATTACATTTTAGGTTCTAATTTTTTGTGGTTAGGTTTTCAGGTTAGGGCTCCAATTTCTAATGTACAACTTTATTTTCTAGAAATAATGTAGTTTTGTTAGAACATCCTAATGTGGACGATTTTCGAGAAAAAAGGCTTTTAATTGAACTCTTACAATATTACGGTGTAGAAAAAAGTGACTTTTCTCAAAGTAGGCTTATGTCAAAACTTATTGATGGACGTCTCAAAAACAACGCATACATTCTCAGTAATAGTTTAAAGTCTAATTAACTTTATATCAAAATTTTAGTGACTAATTAGTCATTATTAACTACAGTCACTAACAATCACTAAAATTTTGATATAAAGTTAATTGGATTTTAAAATATTACTGAGAATCTATGCATTGTTTATGAGACATCCGTCAATAAGTTTTGTCATAAGCCTACTTTGAGAAAAGTCACTTATTTTCTTTACAGTAATACTGTAAGAGTTCAATTAAAAGCCTTTTTTTCTCCCAAACCGTCCACAATAGGAAGTTCTAACAAGAGTACATTATTTTTAGAAAATAAAATTGTACATTAGAAATTACAGCCCTAACCTGAAAACCTAACCTCAAAAAATTTGAACTTAAAATGTAATAGGAATGTAGCGTAACTAGTGCCTTCTATGAAATATCCAAAAAATAATTAGACCAGCGTATTTGACGTAAAAATATTTCGCACCGTTTGGAAATTTTCGTAAAAATTATAGGTATTTAAAAAAAATTTTTTTGTCGCTCTGAATCTCGCAAACAAGAGGAGATAAACATATAGTTCATAAGACAAACAATTCTTATTTTTTGTCGTACTATCATCCCCTGAATTTACGGGAGGTCTTTCTGAAATACCCTGTATATAGTGTGTCCCGTTTTTTAAAAGAGTAGTTTTTCCAGAAAATGGTATTAGGCATTTTATTATCAAAAATATACTATCACCAGGCTATTCAACATCCATCAAAATACCCATACACCAAAGATCGACAAAATGTCTATTCCCTGAATTCACGGGAGGTCTTTCTGAAATACCCTGTATTTGTGTTAATTGTCTAACAATGCAAAAACACATACCAGAGAATTAAAGTGATTTTTAATTCGTCGGATGAACTTCACTAAAATACTATTTTAGTTCGTTTTGAAACGGTATTTCTTAAATAGGTACTTAATGCAGAGATTTTTTTGAATAAATTTAATAATTCAAAAGATCCTAAACATCTGACGACTTTCTATTAATAATAATTATTATTAGCTACGTAACTAATTATTTCATAAATTCAAAACTGAGACATTTTTATGCGAGCAAATCGGCTTAAGCCCCTGAGAAGTTAAGGAGAAAAAGAACGGTGCGCTCTCTTTAAAAAACTGGTAACATACTCTCACAAAACTCGTAAACTTCGCGCCGGCACTGAACTTCTCGCACGCCACACTCTCACAAAGATAACTCCCTCCCGTTTGGTGACATGTGGACTACTTAAGCCCCTAAAGATTACTAAATAGCCGGGACAGTGGGACACATCTCCAGAATGTATCCCGTCGCGCATCCTTGTCTAATGAGTGCAGCTCAGGAATATTCAGCAACGCCTTCCGTTTCCGATTGTTACAAATTAGCTGTCATTCCGTGTCAGATACGTTACTTGTCGGGGACAAATTACGTTTCACGTGCATCTGCCGTTAATACCGCAGCCGGAACCAATAAAAATAGTTTTTATGGAAATCGATGTGATTTCGATTACTGAGCGAGCTTATCTCCAACCACGCCTCGCCGAATCGACTTAGCCAATGGGGTATTTTTGGTGAGGAGATAGGTACCACGCCCATGGGGAGATTAGAACTATTTCAAAACATTTTGATTCACAGTCCGGATAGCGGTGGATAGGTGTGTAAAAATAAACACAGTTTTGAATCGATGAGGTATGTGTTTATTATTTGTTCGTTAATATGACACAAAGCCTACACCGGCACTCAAAACATTTTAAATAAGTATTTACGTTCTGTTCTTCTATTTTTTGGGTATTTTGCCACCTATGAAAAAAATTTAAACATTAGTGAAATAAATCTTCGCATCAATAGAAACATTCAAAGGTTATTTTAATGAAAATAGTTTTGCCTAACTAAAAAAGCAGACAAATAGAAAGTAGATCACTTTATATCGCTTACTTTAAAAAAGCTTCGAAAATATATCTGTTTTTGTCTTCTGAACTTTTTTTGTTTTCGTTTTAGTTACTACGACAGTTTTTTGCTTACTTTTGTCTGTTTCCATGGCTAGAGATATAATATAGGTGAGCGGTTCACCCCTAAAAAAATGCTTCTAAATGAAGGTAATCGACTAAATTTTTAAAACAAAAACCTACAGCATAAAACTTTTTATTTTATAAAGTGCCTTTTTCTGATAATTTACATATATTTTTTATATTTTTCGGCGTTGTCGGTCGTTATAAACAAACAAGTTGGAAAAAAAAATTACTTGACGAATTTTGACGTTAGACAGGGTGTTTTTGAATGGAGTAGCATAAATGATACNACGCCCATGGGGAGATTAGAACTATTTCAAAACATTTTGATTCACAGTCCGGATAGCGGTGGATAGGTGTGTAAAAATAAACACAGTTTTGAATCGATGAGGTATGTGTTTATTATTTGTTCGTTAATATGACACAAAGCCTACACCGGCACTCAAAATATTTTCGTTCTGTACCTAGTTGTATGAAGAAGCAATTTATTGTTTGATGAAATGTCATATTTGATTTTTTGGGTATAGGTGGCAAACCTATGAAAAAAATGTAAACATTAGTGAAATATACCCTCGCGTCAAAAGAAACATTCAAAGGTTATTTTAATGAAAATAGTTTTGCCTAACTAAAAAAGCAGACAAATAGAAAATACTTATATAGATCACTTTATATCGCTTACTTTAAAAAAGCTTCGAAAATATATCTGTTTTCGTCTTCTGAACTTTTTTGAGTTCTTGTTTTAGTTACTACGACAGTTTTTTGTTTACTTTTGTCTGTTTTCATGGCTGGAGATATAAAATAGGCGAGCGGTTCACCCCTAACAAGATGCTTCTAAATGAAGGTAATTGTTCAACTAAATTTTTAAAACAAAAACCTACAGCATAAAACTTTTTATTTTATCAAGTGTATTTTTCTGAAAATGTACATATATTTTTAATATTTTTCGGCGTGGTCGGTCAAGTGTTATAAACAAAAAATTTGTAAAAAAAATTACTCGACCAATTTTGACGTTATACAGGGTGTTTTTGAATGGAGTAGCATAAATGATACAAGTGAATCTACATTTCAAAAGAACACGATCTGCAAAAAATCGCCTTAGTAAAATGTTCACCCCTGAAGAGATATGGGCCATCAAAGTTTCCAAAAAAATTATGAAAATTGGCTGTAATTTGAAAACCGAACGAGGTACAAATAACAAA